GGACACCCCAAAAAGGAAATAAGAGGCTGAATTTCTCTACCCAAAGGGGATTATTGCCAGTACCTATATGTTTAACTCTTTACTCCCCTAGCCCTGGAACCCATCCCACTGGGGAGTGCAGAATGGCCCTGGGCAATGGCCAGCACTTTCCTAAACTTACGCATTCAGCAAAGTTAGGGCAGCTTCAGCTGGGACTGGCCATAACGACTCCCCAGGCTGGTGTTGGAGAAAAATTTCACTTGGGCTAATTTCAACTTTTCCACCATTAAATCTGCACCTGCAATGTCAGGGGTCAACAAATAATAAAATGTGGCATCTTTGAAACTGCTCAGTCACGTGAAAAGGGCTGTAATTGAGTAGATGCATTCCCTGAAGCCCCATCAGAGGCACATGGCTCAGAGCTGAGGGGGAGGGGAAGGGGCGGGACAGGGGACGGGGAGGCTGGGGCAAGAGCAAGCCTGGCTCTGTCTGGGAGGATACCCTGGGAGCAACAGCAGCTTCTGATGTGGTCTCTTGCTTTTGAAATTTGAGCCTAAAAATAAATAAATATCCCGCACATTCACTCCATACACACTGGCATACCCACGCTGGCCCCCGGCCTTTGTGAGCAGTTTGACCTGATAAATGCGCTTGGCTGGCATCAAATAGTTAGGCTTTGACCGATCCCATTTAAATACGTGAATTAGTCATGAAGCAGGACACAGCTTGGTGAACTTGCTAAATTGTTGGACTCTATTGAAGGAGAAGGGAGAGAAAAGGAGAAAGCCATTCAGCATTCTCAATTAGGTGGAGAGGTGAGAGGTACCCCAGCCAGAGGCCATCCCGCCTCACTCGCTGAGAGGTAACTGAGAGCCAGGGAATCCAATCCTTCCCGGGGCCACAGGGTGGGGGTTACAGGGCGGTGGGTCGCTCCGTACTGCTCGGATCTTCTTTTCCAACCTTCTAGACTAAAGCACCTGGGGGGCCCTGACCTTCCATCCTGCAGACTGTCCAGGGCTGTTCTTAAGTGGCAGTTGAGTCTCCCTGGATGGAGAGGCTGGCTGGTGTGGGAATCCATGAAGAACCCACGCTCAGGCCAGCGGGGACTCAAAGTTGAAGCCACTAAGGGAAAGCTAGCCTCAAGCTTCTATAGATGTAATTCTTAACCTCAGCCGGCCACCACCACTCCCTGCCCCAGGAGAAAGAATGAAAAAGGAAAGGAGAGATTGGTGGACTCTCTGATCCCTTGCCTCACTCTAAGCAAAGAGCCCTTTGGTTGGGGAATAAAATCCACAGGAAGAGGTGAGGAGGGTGCAAGCAGCAGGGCTGAGGATGTTAAGGCCTCTTTGTGCTATCCCAGTCTTACCAGCACCCATACCAGTACCAGTTGCTGTTGAGTCAACTCTGACTCATGGCAACCCCATGTGTGTCAGAACAGAACTGTGCTCTGTAGGGTTTTCAATGGCTGAATTTTTAGAAGTAGAGCACCAGGCCTTTCTTCTGAGATGCTTCTGGGTGGACTTGAACGTCCAACCTTCCAGTTAGCCATCCAGTATATTAGCCATATGGCCATCCAGAGACCCCATCAAAGTCTTAGCACAAGGGAAGAACAAACTCTCAGTGCCTCCATTTCCTTCAGACTCCCCCCAACACACACACATACTCTAGGACCGCCACCTCCACACGCCCAACACCAATGCTGCAAAGGCCAGTCATGCCCCTGCTCAGAAAGCTAAGGGGTCAGGAAGGAGAAAAGAATATTTGCCTCTAAGCTCCAGCTGTTGTGGAGTTGGGGATAGTGGGTAGTTGCTCCCAGATAGGAAGGATGTCACACACCAGTTTTAAATCTCCCTCTTTAGCTCAAGGCATACTGTACACCCTTCTGTGATGCATATTTACTCAAATCAGACATTTCTTCTCGAAGGTTCTAATCAGGCACGCCCCAGTCACTGCCTTGATTATAAAAGGGGCTTTACTAGAGAGGGATGAGATGGAGAAAGTCCATGTGCCTGGTTTGCAGCAATTGAGCAAGACAATGATCTGAGCCCAGAAATGAGCCAAAAGAAAACACAGTTAGTCTTATGTCTTCCCTGAGGAGAATTTAGGGTAGATGGCCAGGCAGGGTACGGGTGGCGTCGGGCCACAGGGCCCACAGCGCGGTGAGAGGCCAGGTCTGGGCTCCACAGAGCGCTCTGAGGGGGTCGGGCAGCTCTGCAGGAGGTTTCAGTTTACCCTGCGTTCCCAGGCTTGGAGAATTCAGGAAGCGTTTGCTGGTGAAGCGGTCCGGCTTCGAAAACTGTGAAGTCACAGCGCCCCCTGCCAGGGGGCGGCTGCCATGGCATGGACACTTCCCCAGCTCTGGGCCTGGCTGGTGGACACCCTGGCTCCCACGGAAATCTGGAACTTAGTGGACCCTGCTGTTTCCCTTCACCCCTCTCCCATCCACCCAAAGTGAGGACCCAGGAGCCAGCAAAGGATCTAAGAAGGATCTGCCTCGGATTCTTGCCATACAGGGGTACACCTGGGTTGACTGGATGCCAAAACGGTGGTCGTTCCATTTCCTATGATTATCTCCAACAAGAATGTCATAACTCATATGCATTTGGCGTTTATTCTTTTTTTTTCCTCAATAATTTTTTTGTTGTGTTTTAGGTGAGGATTTATTCTTACTTCAGGGCCCTGTTGTCATTACTGCTGTTGTTAGGTGTAGTTGGCTCTGACTCATGGCTGCCTTATGTAGAGCAGAACTGGTCCTGCACCATCTCCATAAATGTTTGTATGTTTGAGTCCGTTCTATTGTGTAGTGCCTTCTAACGTAGGGCCTCATCTTCCAGCACTATATCAGATAATATTCTATTGTAACTCATAGGGTTTTCGTTGGCTAATTTTCAAAGTAGATCATCAGGCCTTTCTTCCTAATCTGTCTTAGTCTGGAAGCTCCGCTGAAACCTGTCCACCATGGATGACCCTGCCGGTATTTGAAATATCGGTGGTATAGCTTCCAGCATCACAGCAACACATAAACCGCCACAGTACAACAAACTGACAGATGGCTGGTGATCAGAGCCCTAGTGGCCTGAAGTTTGTCATTTGCTAAAGTGATAATAATAACAAAAGCACTGCATTGATGCCAAAGTATGAGACAGCATCACTTGCTTAGATTTTCAAAGATTGCAGACTCTGACCCAACTCCTGACCTGACTTGGATGTTTATCGTCCCCCCTGCCATTCCTCAAACATGTTTTCACTGTCTTTACAATTAAAAGTAAAATTAAAATTTGAACTTACCACCTTAAAACACACTTCTAGATGTTTTTTCTTTTTCACTCTGACCATCAGAACAATATCATTCAATAAATCCCCCCCATGTTACTGTCAGCGGCCGTCGAGTCGGCCCCTGACTCATTTCGATCCCATGTTTTACAGATTAGAACCATTCTGCAGAGTTTTCTTGGCTGTAATCTTTAGAGAAGCAAATCACCAGGCCTTTCTTCCACGGAGCTGCTGGGTGGGTTCAAACCACTAACCTTTGGGTTAGCAACTGACTGCAAACTGCTTATGCCACCAGGCTCCTAATGCCCTCATCAAGGGCTATTAGTACATAAATTTGGCATCCAATGTGTCTCCCCAGAAATCAACATTCCTGGGTACACCATTCAGCAGCCCATTGAAGATGCAGCTTCTGATTCAACCAGGCTCTGATGGCTCCTTCCTCATACACGATCTTAAGGGCAAAGTGGAGCAACTCTCTGAAACTACTCCTCCCTGAGACCCCCTAGACGCCACCTGTGGCACTGCCCTCTTCCTTAGCCCCATGTTCACTGTGTCAGCTTGTCCTGTCTGCCCTGCATTTACAATGCTCTGAATCTGACTACTTCTATCCACCCCCATCATTACCACCTGTAACCAAGCCACCACCGTCTACTCTGCCGTGAAGGCCTGCAGCAGCCCCTAACTAGGCTTAGGCTCTGCCTCCCTCCCATCTATTTCCCCTCAGGAGCCAGGGTGACCCTTTCAAAACCCGCATCACACGATACCAAGGATTAAGAGTAAATTCAGCGGCCTTCCACTATGCTCTAGGATTTGATAGAAATTCGCAGCATGGCCCTGCCTCCTTCTCCAACCTCCTTTGGAGCCTCTCTCCTCCTCATTCCCAATCATCCAGCCCTACGAGTCTGAATCGACTTGACAGCAGCAGGTTTTGATTTGTTTTTCTCTCTCACTGTACCACAGTCCTTACAAGGACACACTCACCACTGTTTGTGTGGTTACTGGTTTACTGTCTGGCTCCCCCATCAGGTGGCAAATTTCATGACGGGAAGAACCACATCTGCCTTGTGCACTGGTGTACCCCCAGCACCAAGCCCAGGTCCCAAGTGGAGTAGGTGCCCAGTGGACGTGCATTGGTGAGTGAATAAATGGCTGGCCTCTATGCAGTTGATACTGTTAGCTCAGAGAGGTTTAGTGACCTGCCTGCTGCCACACAGCTAGCAAGTGGACATCAGTGATGTGGCCCCACCATCACAGTTCCTAGGTAAACGCACCATCTACAACCGGCTGGAGGCGCAGTGGGGCAGGCAGGTGAGAAGATTCCAGACTAGCGATTCACAGGGTGAAGTTCCCTTGTGTGTATGTGTGTGTGTAAGAATGTACAAGATGCATATTCAGCATTTACATTTGTTGCAAACTATCTTTTGTTTTCAAAAGGAAAGGTAGGCTGCTGAAAGGAAATAAGCTGGTGAAATGTCGACTGCTGTAAGGAAAGTTCTCTCTCACAAGACCGGCCTGGCTGGGAAGGAGAACAGAAAGCATCGCTCTTCTCCTTAAGCACTCAGACTAAGGGGGCAGGTTTAAAAGGCCATGGGGAAACCGCTGGAGGCCTTTCTGCCTTCCCTGGAGCCGAGCGCAGGCCAGACCAGGGCCATGGGTGCGCTGGGAAAGCGCGCCCCCCTGGCTTCCCATCACCTGGCAGACTGATGTCATCCCACCAGTGGCGAGGAGCGGCCATTTGTGAGGAGCAGGTGGGGGAGTCCGGGGCGCAGCGGTGACGGTTCGTCGGCGGCGAGGGGCCGGCGGCCAGCAGAGGGCGCCCGAGAGCGGCACGCCGCCTCTGCGCCGGGACGCGCGGAACAGGTGCCGCTTGCGCACCTGGGCAGGAAATTGATGGAGTCGCCAGCGGCTTTCTAAACCATGAACTGCTCGCTCTTCCTGCGCTCCTCTGTGTGGCAGTGACTTCCCTATGCTTCTGTGCGAGAAGACTTTAAATGACCGTATGTTGCTGTGTACCGTCGAGGGAATTTAGACTCAGGGACCCCACGCGACAGAGTAGAACTGCCCCATAGGGTTTTCTTGGCTGCAATTTTTACAGGAGTGGATAGCCAGGTCTTTCTCCCGCGGAGCTGCTGAGTAGGTTTGAACTGCCAGCCTTTCAGTTAGCAGCCCAGCGGTTAACCGTTGTGCCATCAGGGCTCCTTAAAGGATCATACGGAGCTCTGTCAAATAAATGCTAGCGGTTATTATTATTCAGGTGGACAGGTGACAGGTGATCTTAAGGAAGCCAAGAATCTTTGTAATGAGAAGGGCGGGAATGAGTACTGTGTTTGAATAGCTGGGGTTCCTTTCTGGCTGGGTTTGAGGGGTGTGGTGTTCCAGCGTGTAGTGTCTTTTGTTTATTCATTCGGCTGTTTGTTTACTGTACAGGTTGAAAATGGTCTTTTCTAGGAGAAAGGTACTTTTTTTCCAGAGTGATCTGAGACGTTTCTGGTCAAATAAATTCACTTTCCCTGCTCAAAGAACTGATGGGAAGGAAATAATGGGAAACTTCATTTGTCAAAGAAAATAGAGTAGGTGTGAAGAAACTGTTTACCAGCATTTGAATCCCTGCGTATCCTTTTCAATAGTCCTGGCAGCACAAATGATTAAAGCCTCCGCTGTTAACCGAAAGTTTGGCAGTTCAAATCCACCCAGCGGATCTGCAGCTCAGGCACTATGAGTCAGAATGGACGGGCTTGGTTTTTGGGTGTGTGTGTGTGTATGTATATATATATATATATATAGATAGATAGATAGAAATAGATATATAGATATAGATATATAGATATATATACACCAAACAAAATCCACTGCCGTCGAGCCAATTCCCACTCACAACAACCCTATAGGACAGAGTAGAACAGCCCCATAGTTTCTAAGGCGGTAATCTTTACAGAAGCAGACTGCCAGATCTTTCTCCCATAGAGCAGCTGGTGGCTTTGAACCACTGACCATTCAGTTAGCAGCTGAGTGCTTAACCACTGCACCAATAGGGCTCCATATACATATAATAATTATTACCACAATTCCTGAAGAAGATGGGCTCTTTGAAATAACTCCCATGGGTTTTTTTTTTTTTTCTTTTTCCTCTTACTCTGTGAATGAAAGTAACAGGAGTTTCATGAAGAGCTTTTTGGCGCTAAACTTTAGTAGCTAAAGTAATATTTCCCTTTTTCTAACTTAATTTATCCAGAGCAAAAAAATAATAAATTAAGTGATGTGTGGGCTACTGAGTTCTCACCACGTTCTGGTTATAGAGGTTGTTGCCCGTCAGCAGAGAAAAGCGTTGCCTCCATGAAGGTTCTGAAGTAACAATCAAGTCCTTTGTGGTAAATAAAGCCCCCTCTGATCCTTTCTCCTTGGCAAAATGCTCAAAACACAGCCTCTTGCATCAAATCTGCAGAATCTCTTTGCTGTCATCTGTCCGGCTCCCCAGTGCCTTCAAGTTAGCCTCCTCAGCTTTTCTCTTGTATCCAGGGGCCTCATTATTTCCTAGTCCTAATAGGCGAGGATGAGAGCACAGAAACAGTTGTTGCTTCTGAAATTTTTTTTTTTTTTTAATCTAAAAATCTATCCGTAAGTCAAGTGGCCTGGTGGAACAATGGTTAAGCACTTGACCGCTAACTGAAAGGTTGGTGGTTCAAGCCCAACAGTGGCTCTGCAGGAGAAAGAACTGGCAATCTGCTTCTGTAAAGATTACAGCCTAAAAACCCTATGGGGCAGTTCTGCTGTGTCATGTGGGGTCATTATGAGTCAATAATTAACTTGACAGCACCTAACAACATTCATGAGTCACACTGCCACAGGTTTCAGGTTCATCCCAACTCATGGCGACCCCATGTGTGTCAGAATAGAACTGTGCTCCGTAGGATTTTCCTGGCTGTAATCTTTATTTATTTACTTTTTAAATATATATATTTTTTATTTTACTGTGCTATAGGTGAAAGTTTACAGCACAAATTAGTTTCTCATTCAAAAATTTATACGTAGATTGTTTTGTGACATTGGTTGCAACCCACACAATATGCCAGCACTCTCCTCCTTTCCCTTTCCACCCCAGTTTCGCTGTGTCCATTCATCCAGATTTCCTGTCTCCTCTTGCCTTCTCATCTTTGCTTTTGGGCAGGTGTTGCCCATTAGGTCTCCTACACTTGATTGAACTAAGAGGCACGTTCCTCACGTTTATTATTGTTTGTTTTATAGGTCAGTCTAAGCTTTGGCTGAAAGCTGGACTTCAGGAGTGGCTTCAGCTCTGAGTCAGCAGAGCGTCCAGGGGCCATAGTCTTGGAGGTCCCTCCAGTCTCTGTCAGATCAGTAAGTCTGGTCTTCTTTGTGTGTGAATTTGCATTTTGTTCTACATTTTTCTCCCGCTCTGCCCAGGACCCTCTCTTGTGATCCCTGTCGGAAGAGTTGGTGGTGATAGTCAAGTACCATCTAGTTCTTCTGGACTAAGGCTGGTGGAGGCTGTGGATCATGTGGTCCATTAGTCCTTTGTACTAATATTTCATTTGTGTCTTTGGTTTTCTTCATTCTCCTTTGTTCTGGACAGGATGGGACCAATAGATGTATCTTAGATGGCCACTCACAAGCCTTTAAGACTCCAGATGCTACTCACCAAAGTAGGATGTAGAACATTTTCTTTATAAATTTTGTTATGTCAATTGACCTAGATGTCCCCCAAGGCCAGGGTCCCCAGCCCTCAGCACCAGTTAATCGGTCCCTCAAGGTGTTTGGTTGTGTCTAGGAAGCTTCTATGACTTTGCCTTCGTCAAGCTGTGCCAACTTCCCTTATATTGTGTGTTGTCGTTCCCTTCAACAAAGTTAACACTTGTCTACTATCTGGTTGGTGATTTACCCTTCACGTCCCTCCCCTCCCTCATAACCATCAACGACTATTTTTTCCTGTGTGTAAACCTCTTGGTCTCCTACAAAATTTGTCCTTTTGTGATTGACTTATTTCACTCAGTATAATGCCCTTCAGATTCATCCCACGTTGTGAGAGTTTTTCAGATTCATCATTGTTCTTTATCACTGTGTAGTATTCCACTGTGTATATGTACCATAATTTGTTTATCTGTTCATCAGTTGATAGGCACTTAAATTGTTTCCATCGTTTTGCTATTGTGACTAATGCTGCAGTGAACATGGGTGTGCATATGTCTATTCATGTGACAGCTCTTATTTCTCTAGGATATATTCCTAGGAGTGCAATTGCTAGATCATATGGTATTTCTATTTCTAGATTTTTAAGGAGATGCCATAATGTTTTCGCCACTGGTTGTACCATTTTACATTCCCACCAACAGTGCATAAGAGTTCCACTCTGTCCACAACTTCTCCAACATTTATTATTTTCTGT